TGGAGGGTCCTGTACCAAATAGTGGCATATTTGATATATCTTATCAATCAGATCTGAGTAATAACAAAGATTTATGTGGGAGAATCCATGGTTTGAGATCTTGCAATGTTTCAATATCGCATTGGAGAAGCAACAAAGGCAAAGCTGTGATATCTATTGTTGCTTCTTTAGCAGGTCTACTACTTGTTTCATTGGTGTTAGTTGGGATTTTTGTTGTTTGTTCAAAACTAAAGTCAAGAATTATAGAACAGAATTCAGGAATCATGAAGGAAAGTACATTTTCAATCTTACATTTTGATGGGAAAAATCTGTATGATGACATAATTGAAGCAACTGAGAACTTTGATGACAAGTATTGTATAGGGCAAGGAGCTTCTGGAAAAGTTTACAAAATGGTCATGCAAGGAGGTGAAAAACTTGCGATAAAGAAGTTTAGATGTGAAGAATATGATTTAGATCTTCAAATTTTAAAAGCCTTCAAAAGTGAGATTGAAGCAATGACAGAAATTCGCCATCGAAACATTGTGAAGCTCTACGGGTTTTGCTCACAAAGATCACACACTTTTGCTGTTTATGAGTACATGGAAGGTGGGACTTTAGCTGATTTTCTGAAAAATGACACAAAGGCATTAAAGTTAGATTGGCTTAAGAGGGTGGATATTGTCAAATGCGTAGCAGAAGCTTTATCTTATATGCATCATGATTGTGATCCGCCAATTATTCATAGAGACATATCAAGCAAAAATATATTATTGTCTGCAAATCTTGAAGCCCATGTGTCAGATTTTGGCACAGCAAAGTTCTTGAAGTCTAACTCATCAGTTTTGACGGCATTTGCTGGTACACTTGGCTATGCTGCTCCAGGTAACTTAATGCCATGTCTAACTCTATTTAAAGCATTAAAGTTATAGAAACTTCAGTTGTGTTAATATCCATGAGTATGAACTTAAACTTTCTATTTTCGAAGTTTGTTGCTCAGTCATAAAAATTCATATCTAATTGTCGTTACTTACAAATGTTTCAAATGATCACTTCATTCTAATTGCTATTGCAGAGCTTGCGTATACGCTAACGGTGTCTGAGAAATGTGATGTGTTTAGCTTTGGCGTATTGGCTTTTGAAATTCTCATGGGAGAGCATCCTGGTGATCTAATTTCTCATGTACACGCCTTTGATGATGATCCAAACATCAACTTCAAAGAGATTTAGACCCCCGTTTGTCACCTCCTAAAGAGCAGCAAAAGTTGATGAAGGAAGTGATTTTGATTGCAAATCTAGCTATTTCATGTTTACAAACTAACCCCTCATCTCGACCAACCATGCGAAGCATCGCTCAAATGATGGATCGTGCTCATCATCATTGAAGTTTTTGTTAGCTTGTTCTTATGTACAATCCTCTGGTTAATATATTGTCTTTGTACCTTTGCATGAAGCTAAATAGCCAGCTGCCTATTATTGAAAGATCTGTCGGCCGATGTTTTGGGTACTTAAATAATGTTATCTTGTAGTTTCTATTTGGAACTGGAAACCATCACTTTGTAAATTTAAAAAGAAAAGTTAATATGCATGCCCCTGCAATTTATCTCATTTTAGTTAAGTTCTTACTGTTTTTTCCTTTTTATAGAATTCTTACAATTTTCTCAATTATAGGTATTGATTTTGATGCTCATAATTTAATAATTTATAAGAGAAACAATGTTAGTAGCTAATAGTATGACTTTCATTTAGCACGCATTAAATTAATGTTGTTTACCAAAAATTTTACAATAAGATTTTGACTTTTTTTCTACGCGAAATATATCAGAAATTTTTGTTCTGCTATTTAAATATGTCTGCAAACATGTATGAGGCATTTTTTATATATTCACCGTTTAAGGAAGGTTTTCTCATATTTTAGGCCAATCATACCTTAATTTTTAGTTGTGACAGTATATTTTTAAAAAAAAAATCGACACTTTTTAAAGATAAATAATTAATGATTCAACTAGTTTTTTTAATTTTCATAAATTTGTTATCTAGTTCTTTTCTGGGAGAATAGAAGTGTCTAACGATAATAAGATAATGATATTGCCTTCGGTCCTAAATATAAAAGCTGATTTTTTTAAATAACAGGTCATGGTATTGATGTTAGTTTGTTATTTTGGAGTTAGTATAATCCTTGGTCTCTTAAGGTTACACAAATTTTGGTTTTAATTCTTTAAATTTCAAATCATTGTTTTTGTTATTTAAAAAACAAAATAGTATAAATTTTTATTAAATTATTATTGTAACTAATGTTTGAAATTGAAACAAATTTGAAGAATAAAAAAAGTTACCATTTAAAACTTAAAAGACTAAAATTAAAATAAGAACAAATTCGAGAAAAAAATTATATTAACTTTTTTTTTTTTGGTAATAGTTGATTTGATGGTCAAAGCTTATCGCCCACCTTTCCTGACTTTTTGACCATGATTAGGAGTCTTGACAAAAAAAAAATTTCTTCCTTCGTTGCCGCCACTTGCATCTTGACTAAAAGTAGTTGAGGTATGATGAAATTCAATTAATAAACTTACTATATAATAATAGAAGCCATGTTGTCGAAATTTTCATTTATTAATTGAAGTTTCTTTTCCCAAAGCGAACATATATGTCATCTGTCATAAGATTTGTTCTAAAATCAGCATTTATCTTTCGGCTAGTTATTATAGCATGTCAAAATCTCTCCCTAACCATAAAATAATACTGTAAGATATTTTGGTTTGACAATAAATTAATAACCTCATCTGCTAAATTTAAAAGAGACAGTTTTTTATATTTTATGTCAAAATCATTCTAACCCAAATAACAACTTGTATATGTTTTTAAATTGTTCAATTATTCAAAGGGAATCAAGCAGAGAATATAAAATTGGAGCCCTGCTTTGAACAAACAAGAACATTCAGAAACAAGGCCAATCATACTTAGACAACTACAAAATTATGTATGATATATATATTTATAAAAAGGATCACATGCGATTTAAACTATTGATTTAATTACAGGGAGTTCAACTTTTCTTGAAATAATGCAGTATAAAGCGGAACATGCATACAGGTACATTCAGAAATATGGCCCAACATAAAATTTTCATATTCTTTCTACTTCCTCTATCTTGCTTTGTCTTTTTTGCGCTATGTCCCATCACTTCAGGACTTACAGAAACTGAAGCTCTTCTCAAGTGGAAACAGAGTCTCCCAAAGCAGCCAATTTTGGATTCATGGGTCTCTCCACCACAAGCTAACTCGAGTGGAGCTCCAACATGTTCATGGCGTGGAATTAGTTGTGATTCTACAGGGAGCGTATTGAACTCAACTTGAGCAATACTGATCTTCATGGTACCCTTGAAAACTTGAACTTCTCAGCATTACCAAATCTTCTTAATCTCAATCTTCAATGTAACAAACTTAGTGGTAGTATACCAGAAAGCATTGGAGCGCTCTCGAAGCTCCAATTTCTATCTGTAGAGAAAAACCACTTTTCTGGGTCTATACCGCAACCTCTTAGTAACTGTACAGATCTAAGAGCTCTCTTAATGGCTTTAAACAATCTCTCAGGCATAATTTCACCTACTATTGGTAGACTGACCAATCTAACTGATGTTCGCTTTCATCGCAACCATTTACATGGTGAGTTGCCCCAAGAGTTAGGAAATGTTTCATCTTTGATTGTTGTTCATCTATCTTATAACAACTTCAGTGGCATCTACCACCCCAAGTGTGCAGAGGTGGTAAGCTTGTGAATTTCACTGCAGCTTATAATAGTCTCTCTGGTCCAATCCCACTAAGTTTGAAAAACTGTTCATCTCTCTACAGAGTTCAGCTTCAACATAAACAATTGACAAGACATGGAGATCAGGATTTTGGAGTATATCCTGATCTCACTTACATTGACATCAGCTTCAACAGAGTGTAAGGTGAGCTCTCCGCAAACTGGGGTTCCTGCCAAAGCTTAGAAGCTCTTATCATGGATGGCAATTCAATCAAGGGAAATATTCCAGGTGAGCTGTTTCAATTGAAACAACTACAAAAGCTTGACTTATCATGGAACCATCTATCCGGCGAGATTTCAACACAAATCAGAAATGCCTCCATGTTATACCTTCTGGACTTAAATAGAAACAATATTTCAGGTATGATGCCTGCAACCATTGGAAGTCTTTCTAATTTGGAGTCATTAGACCTGTCAACAAATAGGTTTAGTGGACCTATCCCTTATCAATTAGGGAATTGCTACAAGCTGCTCAATTTAAATTTTAGTCATAATGACTTCAATGGCCAAATCCCATATCAAATTGGGAATATTTACTCCTTGGAAGATTTTTTGGACTTGAGTTATAACTCACTTTCTGGAGAAATCCCTGTTGATCTTAGTAAGCTCAACAACTTGATAAATCTGAATCTGTCTCACAATAATTTATCAAGTTCTATCCTTGATTCCCTGAGCACAATGTTGAACTTGTCAAGCATCAACATTTCTTACAACAATTTGGAGGGTCTTGTACCAAACAGTGTCGTATTTAATATTTCTTATCAATTAGATCTGAGTAATAACAAAGATTTATGTGGGAGAATCAATGGTTTGAGACCTTGCAATGTTTCAATATCACAGAGGAGAAGCAACAAAGGGAAAGCTGTGATATCTATTGTTGCTTCTTTAGCAGGTCTACTACTTGTTTCATTGGTGTTAGCTGGGATTTTTGTTGTTTGTTCAAAACTAAAGTCAAGAATTATAGAACAGAATTCAGGAATCATGAAGGAAAGTACATTTTCAATCTTACATTTTGATGGGAAAAATCTGTATGATGACATAATTGAAGCAACTGAGAACTTTGATGACAAGTATTGTATAGGGGAAGGAGCTTCTGGAAAAGTTTACAAAATGGTCATGCAGGGAGGTGAACAATTTGCCATAAAGAAGTTTAGACGTGAAGAATATGATTTAGACATTGAAAGTTTAAAGCCTTCAAGAGTGAGATTGAAGCCATGACAGAAATCCGCCATCGAAACATTGTGAAGCTCTACGGGTTTTGCTCACAAAGATATCACACTTTTGCTGTTTATGAGTGCATGGAAGGTGGGACTTTAGCCGATTTTCTGAAAAGTGACTCAAAGGCATTAAAGTTAGATTGGCTTAAGAGGGTGGATATTGTCAAATGCGTAGCAGAAGCTTTATCTTATATGCATCATGATTGTGATCCACCAATTATTCATAGAGACATATCAAGCAAAAATATATTATTGTCTGCAAATCTTGAAGCCCATGTGTCAGATTTTGGCACAGCAAAGTTCTTGAAGTCTAACTCATCAATTTTGACGGCATTTGCTGGCACACTTGGCTATGCTGCTCCAGGTAACTTTAATGCCATGTCTAACTCTATTTAAAACGTTATAGAAACCTGTGTTAATATTCATGAGTATGAACTTAAACCTTCTATTTTCGAAGTTTGTTACTTATTAGTCATACAAATTCACAACTAATTGTCGTTACTTACAAATGTTTCAAGTGATCACTTCATTCTAATTGCTATTGCAGAGCTTGCATATACGATAACAGTGTCTGAGAAATGTGATGTGTTTAGCTTTGGTGTATTGGCTTTTGAAATTCTCATGGGAAAGCATCCTGGTGATCTAATTTCTCATGTACACGCCTTTGATGATGATCCAAACATCAACTTCAAAGAGATTTTAGACCCCCGTTTGTCACCTCCTAAAGAGCAGCAAAAGTTGATGAAGGAAGTGATTTTGATTGCAAATCAAGCTATTTCATGTTTACGAGCCAACCCTTCATGTCGACCAACCATGCGAAGCATCGCCCAAATGGTGGATCGTGCTCATCATCATTAGCTTGTTCTCATGTACAATCCTCTGGTTAATATAGTGTCTTTGTACCTTTGCATGAAGCTAATTAGCCAACCGCCTATTATTGAAAGATCTGTCAGCTGATGTTTTGGGTACTTAAATAATGGTATCTTGTAGTTTCTATTTGGAACTGGAAACCATCACTTTGTAAATTTAAAAAGAAAAATTAATATGCATGCCCCTGCGATTTATCTCATTTTAAGTAAGTTCTTATAGTTTCTTTTCCCTTTTTATAGAATTATTATAATTTTCTCAATTATAGGTATTGATTTTTATACTCATAATTTAATACTATCTCCGATCCTAATTATAAGAGTCAGTTGACTAATTTGAAGAGATTAAGAAAGTAAGTTGAGTTAGTTATTTGTCCTAAATAAGTGTTGTCTTTCCTAAAGTATCCTTACTAATTAAGTATATTGACTAGAATTATCATTATTAGAAGAGCTACTTTGAAAAAAAATACTCCTCTGGTCTTTAATATATGACTCAATTGTTGAGTTAGTTTTGATCCTAAATATAAGACCCATTCCTCATATTTATCAATTTTCTCTAAATTACCCCTATGAATACTCCATCAACAATAATCAAGCAGAAGAGAGAGAGGGGGTATTAAGAAATATGATTATAGTATTTTAGGGAAAACGTGTCACATTTCTTATAATTACCTAACTTGCCTAACTTTCTTAATCTAATCAAATTAGTTAAATGGGTCTTATATTAAGAACTGGAGAAGTATATAAATATGAGACACAAAGTAGATTGGGATCTTATATTTAGAACTAAAATAAAAGTCAAACATGGTCTTATATTAAGGACTGGAGATAGTAATTTATAAGAAAAACAACGTTAGTAACTAATTATACGACTTTCATTTAGCATGCATTGAATTCATGTTGTCACATGAATTTAAATAAAACAAAAATAATAATTTTTTATTTTTATGCTGATAATAAATAAATTTTATTTTATCATTTTGTTTTTAAAATCTTCTTTTACTTTGTATTTTGTGACTACTTACGTGTTGTTTAACATCCATATGAATTGGAATTAACACATGATGAGAGTAATGCTGATAATAAAAGAAACTACTACCTCCGATCCTAATTATAAGAGCTAGTTAACTAGTTTAAAGAGATTAAGGAAAGAAGTGAAGTTAGTTATTTGTAATAAATACGTGTTGTCTTTCTTAAAATGTCCTTGCTAATCAAGTGTATTGGTTAGAGCTATCATTATTAGAAAGACTATCTTGGAAAAAAAAAGCATAAATATGAGAGACAAAGTAGATTGGGGTATTATATTTAGAACCAAAATAAAAGTCAAACAAAGTCTTATATTAAGGACCGGAGGTAGTATATAGAAACGCAATTAAAAAAAATACGTGACCTAATTAAAAAATAAGTAACTATAAGGAATGATCAATTAATGTTTTCCAATTTAAAATGGTAGGGTAATTTTCTTTATTCAAGGTGTGTTGTTAATCAATATTCGTTGTCTGCTGCTAGTTCATGCTGTATTACCTTTGATCTTATTAACCAGTGATTTTTAGCACATTTTACTCATATCAAGAAATATCTTAAATATAATTAACTCGACCCTAAAGTTTAATAACTTTTAACTTTATTCTTCTACACAGTAATAAATGAATTAACAAAATTATATATTCCGAATTTTTTAAAAATAAAACCTTATATCCTATTTATAAATAAATGAAAAAAATGTGTCATTTTACCCCTAATTTTATTTCTTAAGTGCCCTTGGCATTCCGATTTCTTTAATGGTGCAATTTGACCCATGAGTTTTTGTGCAATTTCTATAATCCTTTTATTTTGGTTCAATTTTTATGATCTAATGTTAATTTTTTAAAGATAGAAAAAAATATTGTTACGATTTTAAGTTTTTAGGAAAAATTTGTGCCCAAAAAGACTTCTAGGTGCTCAACATTTATTAGTGAGAATTATCAAGGTAAATTTGCACTTTAACTTATTATTTCAAGCGGGTCAAGTCAGAATTACTAATATTTTGCTAAAGAACACCATGTCACTGCCATATTTATTAAATAAATTGCGCTCAAGGCTTATTCTTACCGAACTAGAGAGGTATAGGGAAAATTCCAATAAGATGACACTTTAATTTGTAAAACTCTAAAGGATCACCTAAATTTATAAAATTCTAAATTAGCTATAATGACTAAATTGAAATTTTGAAATGTTAGTAAATTTATAATATTGTTCTTTAATATTTTTTAAAAAAAACCATTAAGCATCCTCACCGCCCATCTGGTGGCCACTGAAGCTGGCACAAAACTTGAGGTAGATGCCAGTGCTAGAGCTTCAGTGAACAGTCAATGATAAGTCATAGGCGGCAATTGTTTTTAGGGATTCTTTTTTTAAGTCTAGTAACATGATTAACAAATTCGTTAACGCTATCAGTAAGTTTAATATCACTGTTAATAACAAGTTTCTTAGAAAATTTAAAAATTAGCATTTCAAAAAGTGGTATTTTTACAACTTAAATAATATGATTAACAAGTCATGTAACGATATTAACAACTTTTGTAATGTCATTAGCCACATGATCTGAGAACTTTTTATAGTTGAGATAAATTAGTCATATAAGTAGGGAATTTTTCAAGTCCTGTAATGTAGTTAACAAGTTTTTTTTAACACAATTAATAAGTTTTGTATCATCGTTGACAAATGACAATAAATTTTTCAAGAAATTAAAAAAGCAGCATATTTATAATTTCAGTAATGTGGTTAATAACTCGCATAATGATATTGATATTAATAACTCTCATAACTATAGTAATTGCCTAATTCATAGAGGGCCTATATTAAAAACATTAATCTTCATAAGGAAATTTGTTTTAATTGCATTATGAGAGTTGTTAATATCATTATATAAATTGTTGATTGCATTACTAAAAATATAAAAATGTCATTTTTTAAATTTCTTGAAAAATCTATCATTGACAGCTATAGCAAATTTGTTAATAGAGTTAAAAAACTTGTTAATCGTGTTACAAAACTTGAAAAATAAAAGACAATATAGTAATTTTAATAAATTTGAAAATCCCAATTTGGTTAGCTATACCCAAACTAAAATTTTACTTATTGAAGTGACTATTAGAAAACTTTTCAAATTCATCATTGATGAATTGTAAAATATTCCTCCAGTCCTTGATATATAGCTTAATTTGAAAGTTGATATTATTTTTATATGTAAGACATATTTCATACTCTTATCATTTTTTTAAATTAATCCTGTTGATATTTTCTTAACAATAATAAGTAGGAATTGGGTGAAGACATTAAGAAAGATGATTTGAGTGCTTCAGGAAAAACATATTATATTAAATAATTTAATTGACATCCTTAATTTACTCAAATTAATTATTTAGATCTTACATTAAGTGGAGGCACACAACATATTGGTAAATATGTGTATGCATAAACATCATATAAAACATAAGGCTAATTAATTAATAGTAAATCACACTACTCCTCCAGTTCTTAATATATGACCTAATTATTGAGTTGATTTTAGTCCTAAATATAATATTTTTTTTATTTATCAATTTTTTCTAAATTATCCCTATGAATATTTCCTAAAAAATAATCAAGTAAAAGAGAGAGGGAGGATATTAAGAAAAATAATTATAGTGTTTTAAGAAAGAAGTATCATATTTATTATAATTAACTAACTTATTTAACTTTCTTAATATAATCAAATTAATTAAATAGATTTTATATTAAAAACGGGAAAAGTATTAGTTAAGAGTCAGCATGTGTCACCTCCGCATCTGAGCGGTGTTAAGCATTTGTATCAAGCCGTTATTCTCTCTTCTCCAAACCTTGAACAGTGTTGCTATCATTTTTGCTGCTGCAAGATGTTTGGTGAAGAATTTCTGAGTTAACTGACTTGCTTTGGGTTACTTCAAGTGATAATAGATCTGTTTGAATTAGTGATTGAAAAAGTAGCTTACTATCAATTTAATTTTTAAAAAAATAAAGTTGCGTAAAAGTTAAATTAAGTAATGTGAACTGTGTTTGAATTGAATTTAATAAAAGTTAGTATGTAAAAGTTGGATGGGGTGAAAAATTATTTAGATTATGATTGAATAAAAGTAAGTTTAATTTTTATAAATACCACAATGGGTATGAGTTTTATTAGATAATGAAAAATAATTAGAAAAACGAATTTTGCATCATACAATAAGTTTAAATTAATAAGTTTAATTTGTACAATTACCTAAATCAGTACGAGTGTTATAAAATAATGATAAATAATTAAAAAACAAATTTACATAACACAATAACTTTAAATTATTTTAATACGAAGAAGTAAAAATTTATAACTCAAATATATTTTAAAATATTAGAGATATCATTAAAAATTATTACAAATATAAAGTGGAATATAATTTAAATAAATAAAATAAAATAAAATTAAAATTCATTTTGGTCCCAAAGTCAGATGACCCTCAGATTTCTATATGAAAACGTACAAAGTTCGATGGCCAAAGCCGCCCATCAGATATAAAGTTAAATTCATTTAAGCATGGTTTCTATTTGAATAAGCTCTCTCAGATCAATTTATAAAAATGAACGTTTTGATCTTCCTTTTGGTCTCAAAGTCAGATGTCCTAACAACCCTCCCAATAGGCCATCATTTTCCAAATGGGCTTATGCTAAAAATAAGCTATTTTTAGCCCAAAAAATTTTGCTTGGTGTCTTGATGTCAAGTTGGAAGTAATGTTTGTTGGCGATGAGTGTGAATATTGTTGACACTTGTGCGTGTGAATTCTTGAGTTTTTAAGTGTGCTGAGTAGTTTAAATGGTTCGTGTGATGATCATTATTGATTTTGTGAAATTTGATATTTTGGTAGTTCTTTTTGACGTGCGGGTTTCGTTGATTGTTGTGGAAGTTTGGAAGTTTGATTTCAAGGTTGGTGTTGCTGCGTTCTAATTTCTTGCGTTGTTTCTCTTTGATCGACCTTATTCGCTGTTAATTGGTTGTGGTGAATCAACGGTGAATAAACTTGTTTTGCAAGTCTTTATCTATTTAAGTTTTCTTGCCTTTTACTGGCAATCTCCTATGGCCTACAAATAGTGAATGACCTGTTTTTTCCCTCGTTTCTATATAGGAACCAATTTCGGTGCTTTCTATATAGATTTTGAACCATTCGTCATCGGCTAGCTA